ACATTTAGCAACAGTATAGAAATATAAAGGCAAAAAATGATAGCACTGCAAAGACAGAGAAAACCACTATTATTCTTGAAGGCTTCAACACCTGTCTCTCAGAAATGGACAGGTATGGCAGGCAGAGAATCAATTAAGACATAGTTCTCAATAACCTCATCACTGACTGTGCATGATCATCACCGATAGATGGCTTCATCCAACCACAGCACAGTACACACTCTTGCTAAGCTCACAGGGACCAGTCACCAAAAACACTACATTCTGAGCCATGAAACAAACCTGAACAAATTCAAAAGAGCAGAAACCATGCAACGTCTGCTCCCAGACCACAACTGGGATTAAAGTAGAATTCAATAATAAAAAGATGACCCGAAGATTTTTAGGACAATGTTAAGTATTCTGTATGACACTATGATAGTATGTACAGGTCATTGTACTTTCGTGTGCACCCATAGAACGTACTTCAAGAGTGGACTCCAACGTGAACGACAGATTTTGGGTGACAATGCTGTGTCAATGTAGGCTTACTGATTACATACCAGTCGGCTAGAAGCTGTTGATAATGGGTGACCCTATGCATGTGGAACAAGGACTTTATATGCAATCTCTGTGTCTTCCTCTCAATTTTGTCATGAATTTAAAACTTCTGCAAAAAAATTGCAGCTTTTTTTAAAGCTCAGACATACAGTCTTCAATTAAAAATACTATGGAAAAATGAAATTGAATATTCCTACAGTAATACACCCTGTGAACATCACATCCCTTCAGCTGCAGGCACTCAGTATAATGTATTCCATTTTGGGTACCAGGGTTCCCAGAGACCAGAGATCCTCATACAGAATGTAGATAGATGTATAAATCAATAAATTGTTTAGTTACAAGTGCACAAAATGTAGCAATTAAAAGCATAATAAAGAGGAAAGAAAATAAACAGGAGGGTATAAAGTACATCCTTCATTTTCCTATACCAAGTTCATGCATTTTAGAATTAAAATTGATTTGTAGAATAGGAAGTGAATAGTAGCAAAGCAAAATGGTAATGATTCTTTATGGTAGGTAGGCCAGCTAAAGAGCCTATGTGGTTTTCCTTCTAATCTCACATAAAAAGCATGTAATTATACTGTAATTATGGATTTAGAGACTGGATCCAGCCTGTATTTTCTGGACGTTATCATAGATGCTGGCCACTGAAGGAGCTATTATCCATCATCTGGCCCAACCCTTTCATTTTGCAGATTGGAAAACTACACTAGGGAGATGTGATATACCCAAGTACATCTAGGACACACAGCTGGTTAGTGATCTCCAAGTCCTCTGGACATAGTGACCCACTCATTACATGCTCAATGGCAGCAAATGAATTACTATATTACATCAACATCAACAAAATTCATCCTTACATTGCAATTCGCCATCAGGTATTTGCGTGCTTTTCAAATTTGGCTTTTAGAAACTTGCTTATCTTAAAAGCAAAAGTCATAGAGGCTGTGGTGGAAATTCAAGACAGCATCAGTAAACAAAGAGTGTAGCCTAAATCAAAATCAGCAAAAATAATCCCTTCAAAATAAGAAGGTAGATCAGATGAAGCATGACAGGAAGAACTAAGAACTTCTTAAATTAGTGTTCTCGGCAACTCTCGCTCACTGGGGCACCAGGATTTTGGGGTGCACATTCTGTTTTGTGTGAAGGAAATTTCTCTTCCATGATGAGTAATAGGCTTGGAATTTGGTGTGCTCTGCAATTCTAGAACACTCTTTTCTCTTGGTTGCTTTTCCCAGTATGATTTCCCTCTGCGTCCCACTAATCATGACACACTTCGTTTGTAATTTATTTCACTTTTGTTCCTAACAAGAGTTTGATGAGAACTGTAAGCAACTGTAAGCAACAATTGTCCTCAGATCCTGGATCCCTGAAAACCATCCAAGGACTAGAGAGTCCATGGCTATGGACATACCAAGGAGAAGGTAGCTAGGAGCGCTAGAGGATAAGCACGAACACAAGAAAATTGCTAGCACTTGGGTATTACCAGTTTCCAGCCTGGTGATGTTTTTCCAGTCTTGGACCAAAGCCACTGAAACTGATCTCTGCCTTGAGTGCCCAGGTATTTCTGTTCTTGTCCAGGACCCTCAACATTAGAAGTGCTTGCGGAAAGCAATCTCATGAAGCTGGAGCTACAGAGAGAGGTATTATGAATAACTGTAACTATTTCCACAAAAATTGGCACATGATTTGTTTTTCAAACTTCACACAGATACAGTCATGGAAAGGAGAGGATATGCTACAATAGTTCACTCAGTGGGTGATAGTAAGCTCACAATACAAATCTTGGGATATAAATTTGTCACCTGTCCCTCCAAGCTAAAGGCACCCACCAACAAAATACTGTCCCTACTCAGCAGAAAAGCGGAATCTACTTCCACAGATCTACATACTGATGAGAACAAAGATTCCTAAGACTGCTCTCCACTTCTCCTCCTTAAACTACTTCTGCCCCTAAAGGTAGCCACACAAGACCCAGCCTGACTGTGATGGTTCCCAGAGGTCCACAGCGCCTCTTTCTGTGTGGCTCTGGGATCCACACGGCTTCAGCTGGCCGCTGTCTTCTAGAAGCCCTTTCAATATCAAGGGCCCTTCGCAGCAGAGACCCAGAAGGGCTCCAAGGCGGTGCCCAAGCTGCAACTGCCATGGCTTGAAGATTGAGACATTGCTGGTGTGATCGTCCTTGGTCGTTTTTCTTTTCACAGAGGGCTTTCCAGGGATGGTGGACATGGGCTGGGCTGTGTGTCCCTGCTAGGGTGACCCTGCATCCTCTCTGTGTCTCTGTCCAGAGATGCCACTTACTACGGAAAGTGAAACTTCGTGACAGCGAAAGTGATAAATAAGAAAAGCAGGAAGAACATCCTAAAGAATCCGTGTCAACAGGAACCTGGAAATCTAATGTGATCTCATATCCATACCTCTCCAAAAGAGAGTTCAGATGGTCCCCAAGTCTACAGCCATACCACCCCAAATGCCCGATCTCACCAGATGGTGCCTGAAGCAATGTCAACTTTGGGAGGCAAGGCTAGACAAATGGGGAAGCATGGAAGTGTTCTCAAATTTCAGAAACAGATTGAGATGTCCAGATCTCAAACATGGGAGCTGGCTGGACACCCCTGATGAAACCTCCTTCCTTCCCATGAAAATATCAGGACAACCTGATGTTCTATAACCAGTTCACTTCTGGTAGATACCACACTGGGTTTGTTTTCTAGCTTTTCACATTCACGAACAAGCCCGACATGTGACTTTTTGAGCACTTGTCCATTTATTGCTTTTAGGTAACTCGTGGAAGAGTCCACCCGTTCTGTTAGAAATGGTGCTGGGAGGGAAAGCCACTGGACTTGGTGAGGGTGAGATTTAAAAGGGAATTCCAAAAAGGCGGGAGCAAGGGGCAAGGAAAACAAACTAGAGACAAAGAATACAAGAGCAAGGAGAGAAAACCTGGGAAATTTTTTAAAGGCTCTAGCTGTTTATCTACGGGTAGAACTGACATCATCCCTTCAGACAGCCTCACTTCTTGGCTATATTCATAGTTCTCTGGCCTTTTCCGCCACTCCTGCTCCCTGGTCTCTTTTTGCTAATTAAATGTAGGCATTCTGCAAGTTCTTTCCTCTCCTGGGACTCCCCACTGTCTGTGCCCCTGGCTTCAGCCATCAGAACTTGGAGAGAACTGGCAAATCCTTACGTCCCATCCCAGACTTTCTCCTTAGCGCTGGCACTGTATTTCCTTCTGGGCATTCCCACCCGCATGTCCAGCAGATGTTTCCATCAGTGGGACTTCAGAAGTCAGCTGAAGATGACAACACTGGTGGCTGCTTTTATGCAGAACGGGGGAGTTGATGGACTGGACAACCAAGGAGAAAACAAGAGTGAATCTACTAGCCTTTGTCCTCATCAGGAACATGGTGTGCTCAGAAGGCAACAGGGGGATCAGCCACAGTAGGCCCTGGGCCGGCTACCAAGAGGAGAGGGACATCACATTCATTTAAGAATCCCGAAGTACACCACAGTGGAACAGTACGTGCCAGTATCAGGGTGGGCTTAAAGATAGTATAACCCACTGTGGAAATTAGTATGGAGAGCTCACTAAAAAATAAAGAGAAATTTCATTTGACTCTGCTGCACCTCTCCTGGGTATCATCCCAAAACTGTTAAAGTGATCACGTTGCAGTGACACATATTTATAGCTGTACAATTCACAATAGCTAAATTGTAGAAATGGCCTAGATTCCCACCAGCAGATAAATGAATGAAGACAATATGGTACAGTGCTATCTTGGTTCATGAAATTAAGTCTTTCCATGATTCTGGTCACAAACCAAATCAAATTCAGTGGTGAGGTTCAATGTTGACTTTATGGGGACATTCAATTTGATTCACAACCAATTTGGTTTTCAACCAGGATCATGGAAAGAATTAAGACCATGAACCAAGAGACACCATGGAGTATTATGCACCATAAAGGAGGACAAATCTGAGTCATTTATAGAAAATGGGTGAAGCTTGAGACCATCTTGTTAAGTGAAATAAATCAGACACAGATTAAATAATGTGCAGTTTCTCTCATATGAAAAACCCAAAGTATAAACAATTTAAAGAGAAAAATAAAGGACATGGTAGGAAACAGAGAAGTAGACTTTGGAAATGGGGAAGGTGATTCAGGGAAGAGGAGACAAAGGAGGACAGGGGAGGAAGAGGCTCCAAAATGATCAAGATACAGTAGATACGTGTGCCAATCCCCCAAAATGGATACAGTTGTTACATATAGCAAACATATTGTAGTTTTTAAGAGATAGGACTTTGATAGGCAGGAAGTGGGGGTGGAGAGAGAAAGAGGGAAGAAAATATTCCAGTGGGAATAGAAGTCCAGAAAGAATCCTGCTCGGAAGAGGAAGACCCAAGGGGCTTATCCACTCACTACGGGGTCCTTGCTGTCCCTCTCTTCCCACCCACAGGAGGCTAAGCTGGGCACTGTGAAGGGGGCCTCTTCTCCAACAAGCAAGGAGGAGCCCTTGAACGTACTGATCAGGTGGGTAGCACGCAAGTCTCTCACAGGTGGGGGGGTCCTTTGCAGGTGAGGGACTAGTTCAAATCTGAAAGCTCTCCGACAGTCCGCTGGATGTGTAGACTTGGGATCCAGGAGAAGCACCTTCCCAGGGGAGGCCGGTGAGTGCAAAGAGGCTACAGAGAGGCTCAGAACTTTCTGAGCAGCCATGTTTAGGTGGCCAGAGAAGGAGCTGAGCAAGTGGGGGCGACCAGAGAAGGTCATCACAAAGGTGGGCGACCTGAAGGAGGGCAAAGAAATGGAAGCCAGGAGAAGGGAGGGAAAGAGGCCCCTTGAGTGTTGCACATGGCCGAGCAGGAGGGAAAGGCCCGCTGACTCTGAGGCAGGCCTCCCCTCTGTCATCACCTGCTGTTCCTCTCAGCCAGGCATCCCTCCCTCTCTCCGCCTGTTCTCAGCTGGCCCTGCAGCCCCGCACCCCCAGGCCCCATTGTCTACGCTCTTCTCAGTCCAGTCCCACTAACTCTGATCATCTCCCTTGCCTGTGCCTCAGCGTTCCTCCTCCAGACAATCTGACTGTGACACCCAGTGGCACCTGCTGGGTCCCCGGTATTCCTCCCCACTCGGTCCTGCACACTCGGCCAGGCAAGCTTTTCCATTAGTATCCTCTGCTCAAAAACCCAGGACAATACCCAATAACCTACTGCTTAAAGGTCAAACCGCTCACAAGGGCAACGCTCTTCTGCTGTGAGTAACAGCAGCCCACCTCTACCCACTCCCGGGTTGTCTCTCTTGTACAGCACTGGGGTTACTATCTTCATCTCTGAATGAATACGCAGAGGTATTCAGTAAGAGTGTCTTAGGCCACTAAGATACTCTGAGGCTATTCCTAGGGGTCAGAAGGGAGGTCTTTACTGGGAGGGCTGCACAGCCCACTAAATCATGGGAACCCAAGACAGGAAGGAGACCCTGACCCTGAAGGAAAGAAGATGCCATGCAGTCAGACTTCCAGAGCCGGTTCTGGTTTACGTCTAGTCGTGTGCTCATCGGCATGGCTGTTGGAAGGAGATTTGACAATGGGTGCTGACAGCTGGACGTTAAGAGACGAGGTCTGGTCAGAAAAGGTGGTCACTGGCAGCACGGCCTGGAAGGATGTGTCTCCTCCCTGGCTCCGCCATGCACTGCCTGCTTCCTGGTCACCATGAAGTGAGCAGCTTTTGCCTCCACTGTGCCCCTCTGCCACGCCAATTCTGCCCCGGGGCCAAGTGACTACGGACTGAAACCTGTACAAGTGTGAGGCAAAATAAAGCTCGCAGTTGTGGGCATGGGGTATTGTGTCTCAGCGACAAGAAAGTGACCGAGATAGGCTGGATTAGAGTGTGGACAATCTGGAGCAGCCTCCTGAGTATGAGCAGGAAGAGGCAGGCCAGGACCTAAGAGGGGCAGCAGTAACGGGGACACAGGTTGAAGATGAACTCTACCACCTCTCCCCCGCCCCTCTCTGCAAACCTATACTTAATACCAAGTGTAGGTTGGGGATTTAGCTCAGCGGCACAGCGCCTGCCTGGCAAGCACAAGGTCGTGAGCTCGATTCCTGGTACTGGAAAAAAAAAAAAAACAGAGAGAGATTCTAATTTGGGGCTGGGGATTTAGCTGAGTGGCAAAAGCGCCTGCCTGGCAAGCACAAGGTCGTGAGTTTGATCCTTGGTACCGTAAGAAAAACAAAACAAACAAACAAAAAAAATACCAAGTGCAAAGTAAGCCTGGAGCACTGTATGGCAAAAGTGTGCTGCTTGCTCTTAGAAAAGCAAAAGCCTGATTTGTGGCACTTGCCTATTTCCGGCTGATTTCAAGCTACCTGGGCTACATTTTTAATTCAAAGCTGGGGAGAAATGTGCATCTTCAGCACTAAAGAGGTGGTGCAGGAGAAGCTCCATTCACCACTGGCTAGGAAAAAGCAGTGGATCAGAACGTGGGGCAACCATCTCATGGAGATGAGCCGAACCACCCTGACACTTCTGCCACGACTCGGTGGCAGCCTGCACTGCCACCCCGGGGAAAGGGGTCAAGATGTGATCGTATGAACAAAGTCCACATCTCTCCTTGTAGTCTAGGAGGCTGTAAGGCCTGCAGTGAAGGAGCCACGTCTTCCTCTTCCCTAATCCACCGCTCCAGCATGAGACCTGCTCCTGGGAGGCCCTGCTCTCTTGGTGGCGGAACTCCTGAGGCAGGGAGAGGAGAAATATGGTAAGTGGACAATGGATAACTAAAGAAAAGCCACATCTGCCACTCACCCAGACACGAAGCAACCTCAAGCCCAAAGGGAAATCTGAGTAGCACAGGGTTGGCTGTTGGTGAAAATGACAAAGCAGGAAATTGATCTCTAATCCTCTCTGCGCTCTGACCAGCATCGCTGCCCACCTCCAAGGCACCTGTCCCCCCAGCTGGGTCTCAGGCCTGACCTCCATTCTGACTTCGTACCTTTGCTCAGGACTTCAGCAGCTGTGCTGAGAGCAGCTCATGACCTTGGCACTGTGGGTAAAGCCAAGAGTTCTTTGGTTTTTCACATGGGTTCCCCTGTCCCACCTTCAGAAAAGGTAACATTCTCTGGCTTATGCTGCCACCTTTGGGGCACAGACTCTGGTCACTCTCAGGGACGTCTACATTCAGAGCCTTCTAGCTCGAGCTCTGCAAAGGGGCATGAGATAGACAATGCACACAAGTTCTTCATATTGCAGGGAACGTGTGCCTGTCCTACTCGGGCTCCCACACTGCACAAAAGCTTGCACCCTCCCAGAATGGTGAGCAAAGCAAGCAGGAAGCTCCCAGCCCTGCCCTGCTGTGACAACATGAGTGCCTCCATCACAGAGCTCACGATACTTCCATGACCAATGCTTTATTTTCTCGAGCTCCAGTGTTACATCTGCAGCAAGATATCAAATACACCCCACACACACACACATGAGCATACATTTCCCCTCTGCAGCAATCTCAAAGCAGAAACAATCTTGACTACAGGCATTTATGACATTGAAGAAATAACATCTGATCACCCTTGTCACATACATGGTGTGTCTCACGGGTAGGAAGCAGCAGTACATTCGTAGTTCATAGACACAATCATCCTTAAATAAATACCACCTTATCAGCATAACAAGGCGTTGGAGATTCAGCCTTCGGGGCCATGGGAAGATGGTGCTTGGAATAAGACATAAGCGTTTTTATAAAAACAAATCACATAAGAAGCTAGTAAACAGGTAAGAGTCAATCCAAAGTTAAGAAAAAATAGGCATGCATGGAGAATTCATCCCATTTGGGAAAAAATGTTTTATTTGAAAATTCCAGTCTACAAGTGGGTGACCCTCAAATCATGGTCGGAGAAGGAGAGCTAACTTACACAAACACACACACTGTCAAAGTTCCAGGACTGGACTCCCCTGGCATTGCCTGGCTGCAGATGTCGCTTCAAAGATGTTAATGACTAAGTATGCATCATGATTATTGGGTGGGTCACTGGACAGAGGAACTATTTTCCTATTCAGCATTCTGCAATATTAAAATCACAACCTGCAGGCTAATGGTCTGTGTGGGGCAAACAATACCATATCTCAAGGTAAGAGTGAGAGAGGTAAAATTAATAAATACGTATCTATTTGGTGCCTCAAAACTATCACAAACTTCTGACAGATCACTCACTAAACCTCATGATGACCAGGTGGAGGCAGGGAGGACAGGTGGGACGCCCCACTGCTGACCCAGCCTTCATCACCAGGAAGAGAAAGCCAGGACCACATCCTCGGACTCTAAGCCCATGGAGCTCTAACATGCAGCTCCCCGCTCTCTGCTTTGCAGCCCCTTAGCCAAAGGGGATTTTCTAGAAGTCAAGACTCTGCTGTAAATATCAGAACAAAATCCTGTAGGAAACCAGGAACATTTTATAGCAGGCCAGTGTATCAAGTGGACAAAAAGGGATACTAGGAATTTTTTTTAGGATTTAAGTTCTACTTTAGAACCTACAATTTTATTTTCCCCTCCATCTGCAGAAGTTAGCACTGCACATGTAACTCGACCCCAGGCCAAGGTCAGAATAGATGTAAACATTTCCAGTGACAGCACGGTCACCAGCTTTCTGCCTGATGCAACTGGTCCCCACAGCTGAGAGCATGGGTGGGCAACCCCGAGGTGGGACAGCTCAGCAGCCATCCTGCAGCCCAGCAGCAGGCCCCTGCTCGTGGAGTACACATACGAGGTACCAAGGTGGCCCTCCTAACCTGGATTTGAAAAAGGAAGTCAATCTTTTCGTTAGACAACTGCTCATAGTTCCTGGGACAAAAGACCTGCAACAGCATAGCCCCAAGATGAGACTTCTCTACGTGCAACCTAAGTCTTTCCCAGGCAGTCACATGGCCCAGAGGAGCCAGACCTGAGCCGCCTAAGGGACAGGCGCCACATTGGCCAACGAGATAGTGTCAGGTCAAGACAAGGACTGCCAAAATGAAATGCACGTGCTTCCTGCTCATTCACAGACAGGCTCTAGTGGGGGCTCAAAACAGGAAACGGAACATCCGGTGTCCCCTCGGATACCAATCTGGAAGCAGCAGGCCTATATTTTCTCTTGCAGACAGTGTGACTCCATTTCAGAAGACAAGGCAGTAAGACCTACTGTTCCCAGGTGACACAGACCGAACAAGGCTCAAGAGGTAGCCTTGGGCATAGGGTCTAGGTCAGGCTTGGGCAGGGGCCCCTGTTGGAGGGCCTAGACTTATCACCACCCAACCAGAGGAGGCTGTGACAGTGGATTAAGGGTTGGAACAGGCGGGGGGTACAGCCAAGTGCCAGAGGTGTGCTGGCTCCATTTTACTAAATCCCTAGACTGTACAGGGAAAGGCAGAACAGAAGATTTAGTCAAAACCCAAATAAGCCAAGTTCCCTGAAGCGCGTGAGAAAAAAAAGGCTGATCCACAGTAAGTCTTAAGATAAAGGTAGGACTTATCCCAACGACCTACTCAACAAGTAAAACACTGGCATATCCAGGGGTTCTAAGTGTGACCCAGGGAAGCACAAACCCAGGTCACTCATAGCAAGCGAGGGAAGGGTCAGCAGGTATAAGACCGGTCATCCTAGTTATACTGAGGCCACCAGTGTATAGCAGGAGTGACCCCACTCCCTGGGCTATGTGTATGTGCGTGTATGCAGCACGAAGAAACACGCCAGGGCCCCAATCTTTGGTTCTGGAATTTTTAGGAAAGACAAAAGGAATAAGGCACATGAAGGTGAGCAACTGACTGAATTAAAATTAGCTGCAAGTAGCGTAACATTATTTTGATTTTTTTAATGTACCTTTTTCCCCATTGAAAGAGAAATTCAAAATATATAATGTTTATTATTTTACATTCAAGTGAAACTTCCATCTGGGAGGGTGCTACACGCAATTTTAGGCCCCATCCAGCCATTTATTACTTCCGTGCCTTTTTATTTAGCCTGATGGAAGAATTCAGCCCTCTTTAAAAAAAAAAAATACCAGCTCAATCAGCTCAGCTGTAATACTATTTATGGACACACAAGAACACACGCAAATTCAAAAATTTCTATGTAGAAAAATAAAGGATAAACATTATCCATCTATTTTAGACTGTAAAATGGAACTTTTATATATATATTATATATATATATATATATATATATATATAAGCTTTCTTTAATGTGTTCAGTCACTGTTATTTCCTCTTCCCTCCTGTGTGACCAAAGGATCAAGGGAGGAGACTGCCACAGAGAAGCAGAAAAGCTACATTCTTTGCGGGTGAAGGAGAAACAGCTATTTCTCACTCCCCTTCCCAAGTCTTTCCTGTCCGGCGCCACCTCGGATGTCCCTGCGGACAGGACAGCCTTCCGGTCAGCGGCCATCCTAGCCTCCCCTCTTTCTAAGGCATCCGGGAGCACCCATCCAGGGCACCCTCAAAAAAGGGACCTTGGGTGTGAGGCCAAGAGACGGGCAGGCAGACAGGGGAAGACTTTTGTGAACAAAATATTCCAGAACCACTTCCCACAGCCGTTCCTTTAGTACAGAGTTCGGTTCTCCAGCTGGTGCTTGGTGAGGAAGTACTTGAAAAACTCATAGACAGACCAGGAGATGGCCGTGGAGGGGATCTGGTAGATGACACGTGCCTGGATGCCTTTGAAGTAGCCCGCCAGGCCGTTGAGCTGGTACACTGTCCGGAAGGCGTTGGCCATGCCTGATAGCCGGCCGCTGATGTTGGCCAGGGACAGAGCCACATTCTCCTGTGTGTTGAGCAGGGTCTTGCAGACGTCCAGGGGGGTGGTGGCAGCTGCAGCAAGGGCCCCGGCCAGGCCACCAGAGATGATGTGGGACTGCGGGTTATAGTCCCGCCGCGGGTTCACCTGCTCCTGCAGGAACTCGTAGGTGATGAAGTGGATGGACTGGAAGGGAATGTTCATGGTGAGCTGCGTGGTGTAGCTCCGGTAGAAGGCCCCCAACCCCTCGGTCCTCCACACTGTGCTGATGCAGCTGAGGGCAGACCGGTGCTGCGAGTTGTACATCTGTAAGCGCTGCTTCACCACTGTGCCGGACGCAGGGCAGGATGGGACAGGCCAGGACGGACAGGCAGCCAGCAGGCAGGTGGTTGGTTTGGCCCCACCCCAGGTTGGAGTGAAGTGGGAAGCCAAGCCAATAAAGAGAAACAAGTACGTTAGACACACTGGTAATAGGTACAGAGCGATCACACGTACAGCCCCACCCTGGAAGGCCATGAGGGCCAGCTCCAGGCAGTCCCAGCTCGGGGCTCCATTTCTATCTTCAGGACCCACAGCCAAGGAGGTAGCTACTTCCTCAGGTGTCCCCAGCCAGATTCCCCAGTGAGCAGGTCCCCCACCACTTCAGGGAGCCACTCCAGGCTCCCTGCTCCAGCTGCCCTCTTCCATCCTGTCCCCAGTCCATGGATTAGATGTGTGTCCTTTGCTTAGTCTCAAGAGCCCGACTCTCTGATAGTGATTGTAGCTTTTCTATCACGGTGCACTTGGGACAATGGTAGAATTATGTCTGCCCAAGTTCTCTGACAATCTCCAATGAAGACCGTAGCTTTGTTAATACAAAACTAACTTAACTAGTGGTTCATGGGAAAACAGGAAATGAGGCTGTATGCCCAAGACTGAACTTTAAGAGAGTCTATACTGCCGGATGAACACACATGATGTGCTTCGCTTCACTTTTAAAAGAATAAAGACCTTAGGGCTAGGGATTTAGCTCAGTAGCATAAGCACCTGCCTGGCAAGCACAAGGCCCTGAGTTCAATTTCTGGTACAAAAAAAAAAAAAAAGGAATAAAGACCTTAAGTCAAATTGAACCTCACTTTTTTTCCTTTAAAAAATGTACATAAATTCTTTGCTTAGTTAAGGATAACTCAGCGGCCATCACTGCATGAATCACGAGATGAAGAAAGAAAAAAACAAGGAAAAGAGGATGAAAATGAAGGCAAGGAGCAGGAGAAGGAGGGAGGAGGGGAGAAGGGAACAGAAGAAAAGGAAGAAGGGGAAGAAGAAGATGAAGAGAAAGAAAAATAGGAAAAGGAAGAGGAGACAGAAGAGGAAAAGAGGAGGAGGAAGAGAAGAAGGAAAGGAAGGCAAAAAGGAGAGGAGGAGGAAGAGAAAGGAAGAAAAGACGAAGAGGGAAGCAGCACAGCACCCCAAGATACACACAGCTGGCCCTTTCTACCCATGGATTCTACATCTGTAGACTGCACTAATTCTGCATTAAAAATGTGCAGGAAAAAGTTGTATCTGTACTAATATGTACAGACTTTTTCTTGTCATTATTCCCTAAGCAATACAGGGTAGCAGCGATTCACATTGAGGTAGGTCTTGTAAGTAATCTAGAGATGATCTGCAGTAGAAGGGAGCACCTGTATAGGCTATACTCGAATACCATACCATTTTATATAGGGGATTCGCAAGCCCATGCATTTTGGTATCTGCATGGGTCTTGGATTCCCCCAGGAATTCCACAAGACAACTGCAGTATGCGTGTGTATATCTGGGGATTTGACATTTTCCATGAACTGCTTCCCGCCAATGTCAGAGCATCTCTTTCCTGGCCTCACACACTGCCTTGCTGGGCATGGTGGCGCACGCCTGTAATCCCAGCACATAGGAGGCTGAGGCAGGAGGACTGCCCTGAGTTTGAGGCCAGCCTGGGCTACACAGTGATACCCTGTTTCAAAGACAAACAAACAAAACAAAAGAACACTGCCTTGAATAAACTCACTATAGAACAAGGCAAGAGACAGGTAAGTTTCCTTAATGGACATCATCTCTCTTCAGAATGAGAGTGTGTATGTTTGAGAACAGAACACTGCTACCTGTGAGCTCGCCGCTTTGCAAATAAAAGCGAGAAAGGCCCATGATGTTCCAGTTCCCCTGCACACCATGAGGAAACCAGCATAAAAAGAGGTAAGCACCTTTCCCCACCTGTCCACCTGAGCACCCAGGAGGTAGAGTCCCCTCCCCACCTCAGTGTGAGCCAGCATGGTTGAGGGCGAACAAGCCCGCATCTACTAGGATGTGGCAGACAGCTGAAAACAAACAAAAATTTCAACCTCAAAAGACCCCCCTCCCCCCGGCCAAAAAAAGGGAAACTTATAACCTATGACTTACGCTGTTGACATTTTTTTCTCCAATTCTCCCTTCTGGCAAGGGACTATTTTTTGGCGGGGAGAAAGGCTGACAGAGACCCGCACGTCACCTAAGGCCACTACCAAGTAGAGAATGACCCAGACGAAGGTGCAACAGAACTAGGCCCCCGACTTCACTGTTCACATCTGAGCTGGCCGAAGACAGCAGGACACATAAAAAGCCAGCAGGACTCATGCCTGCCCGGCTGAGACTGGCTTTACCATACTCCCAAAACTCAAAAGGGGAAGGAGACATCAGAGACAATACAGAGTCTCAGTGGACAGGACGGCAGGAATTCACCAATGGTTGTTATACTGCATATTGTTGTCGTTCCCATCAGTTGCTCAGATTACCGTATCATTTTTAATGTCCTTTGTTTCGTTTTGTTTGTATTTTGCTACTGTTTTTTTTTTTTTTTACTATTCTCTTTAAAATAATAATAAAAAAAGATATTTCAAAAAAAGGGCAGAGAAGAAAAAGTTAAAAGGAAAAAGATAGCAAAGCAAAATGGCCATGTGTTAGCTTGTGAAGCAAGGTAAGGGATACACAGGGGTTTCTAACACTGTTCTCTCTACATTCGCCTATGCTTGAAATTTTCCATCATCATTTCAGCTTTTTGAAAAAATAAAGTGGACACAGCCCTAATAATTGGCTTCTGACAGGCTCCCCCCAAATTTGTCTAGGGTTGATCAAGGTTAACCAGGGCCAGATGTGTATGTGTGTGAGTACACACATGTGCACCCACAGGTTTTGGAACAGTGACAAGCTTGCAAAAAAAAAAAAGTCACAGGAGAGCTCCAGCAGGTCCCCAGGGTCTTCCAAGGAGACCCTGCGTCCGTGGTCCTAGGGGCAGGAAGGGTCCAAGAACCAGCATTTCAACTGCCTCCTGGGATCCTGCAGGTCTGGGGGCCATACTTCCTGTTTAGCTCTGATGGGGTCCAGAAGCCCCTTGCCCACCTTCTGCCCCCACTCCAGCCCCTCGGCATGTCCCCTACTGTCCCTCCCTGGAACCACAGAACATTACCTTCTGCCGGGTTCATTACCGCATCGTGGAGCAGGGTGGCCATACTCCCAGCTATCCCTGCAAAACAAACTCCAGAAAATTACCCTCTGCCGTGGGGTGTTCTGAGGAAGTTCCCAGGAACCTAAGGTCAGATGAAATCTGGGCTGGGCTTTCTGAGGACCAGAATAACTAGCGAGAGCTCCACTCAGACGGAGCCCTGATGCTTCAAACCCTGACATGAGTGTGGAAGCACTGAGCAGAACCAGGGAGGCTGACAGAGGTACGGTTACCCACGTTTGAATCCTGCAGACATCTGGTTTTCTTTCTCGTTGTCAGCACTAGGAGAAGACTGCTAACATTTGAGGACACCCAGAAATCACACTTCCTGGCTTTCTCTACTGTCTAGATTTTTCATTCTTGTCCCTCACCTTGGTCTAAAGGTCAGCTCACTATGCCTTCAAGCAAAGGGGGTGTAATGGGGGTGGCACGAAAGAGAAACCTTTAATTTGTTATACAAATCCAGGCATTTTCATTGAAATGGGTAACAGAAGAGTGGGACCTGAAGCTTGGCGGAAGCTTGGCGTCTGGCAGATTTACAGGGTAAGTTTGGGAAGCCCGGATTGGTTTCGTGGGTGGTGGCCCCTCGAAGGCTTTCCTCAGGCCTGGCTTCAAGAACTAGGTGCTTTGAAAGCCTGAATGGGGCCTGGAATCTTGCTTTTGGCTTTGCATTTCCTCCCTTTGGGGTGACGCTGCCTGGTGATTAAAATTAACCTTGGAAGGTAGGAGGGACAAGGAACAGAATAGGTTAACCCTTTAGAAATGCACATAATAGCTCCTCTGCCCCCTGCACACATACTTGTAATTATTCCCAGGAAGGTCAAAGGTCAACCACAGCCCACGCCACAGTGCTGCAGGACAGCACCGGGCCAACCCGGGCGTAAACTGGTGTAGCAAGGAGCTACACCATTACCTACGGCGGCCTGGGCAGGAGGAGAGCCCCGATGTCATGGGCTCCGGGCATCATCCAGGCATAGCTCTTAGTGATCGTCTCAATAAATGTAGCAGGTGGCCAGCTGTTTAAAAGCCAGAGAAATATCTGCAAAGCAGCCAGGCGCACTTGCTACTAAAGCTGCTGATGGCGGGATCTTTATGGTTCTGTGAGTACAACAAAAAAGGGAACAGGAGATTGCTGGTTTCATCCAGCTCTCCACTGTTGAAGAATGCATTCTGTCAAAATAAGTATGCTTTATATTGCTATCCATATTCCCATTCTACACCCAAACAAAACACAATCAAAGCCAACCCCGTGAGACAGGAGCAGAGGACGCCCACCCCGGCCCAGTACCCTGAGACTTATGTGAGAGCTGCCCCCCAACACGCAGCGCCCCCACCGCCTCTCTCCCTCACATCAACCACACAAAGCTACTGTAGCCCTCGGTGCAGAGAATTGCGGCTCAGACACACGGAAGAGGACGGGAGGCAAAACCCCCAAATCTCCTGAAGCTGAAAGTGGAAAAGGCCTTCCGCAGTGGCGCAAGTCCTTTGTCAGCCATAAAACTTCTTGACCTTTTAAAGCTTAGTTAGATCTTGGCGTTGTAGAGACCTGTTGTACCAGTTTTTAAATAGTCTCAAAGAAGCTGTCCAGATAACTTTTTTTTTTTTGAATCCAGCATTCAAAAGTTGGGTTTCTATTCGGGATGTTTCCTAGAACTGATCATTAACGGTTTTTGAATGTTTTTTTTTTTAAAAAATAACAACAACCAAAAAAGCCCCACAACAGGGAGAACTGAAACACCTCTGCCACGGAAGCCCCCCAGGCTCAGAGAGCGCGGGCAGGGGACGGGAAGGCGTGTGTATGTGTGCACGCGCGCGAGCCTGTGTGTCTGGGTGGGTGTGCGCACACGACCCCAGAGTTCCTTTATCGTGAGCAAGCTGCCGAAGACGAAGGCTGCTGGGTCACGGGGAAGAAGGCCCCGGGGGGATGTGTCGAAGAAGAGAACTTTCTAACTCCAGACAAATGCTTTCAAAATACCATTGGCTAGGTGGCTGTTTCCTTGGTGATGGAAAACGTCATTTAAAGTCCTTTTCATGTTTTCATAGCAGGCAAAATACATGGCGTGGGCCGGGCCCGCCCCCATGATCATCACGTTGATACCCCGCAGTGGCCTCCAGAAGCCTTCAGTCCGCATGATTTTCTTGAGGGCTCCGTAGATGCTCGTGTACCGGGCTTTGGGATCCGGAGTCAAACTCTGCATTCGTGTCTGTGGGAGAGTGAGAAAACAGGAAGTAAGAGCTAGTAAGGATGGAAAAAAGGCTTCCTTGGTCAAGAAAATATAGTTATTCTCTCCATCCTACCCTGGTCCCCTCCCCTCGCGTGCACAGATTTCATTCTGCCCAGTAACGGGAAGAACAAGGATTCAGGGAACAAGATAGCGGTACAAGACCCTGCCATGCCCTGCTAGCGGCGAGCTGTGTCTTGATGAATCCCTCATCCTTGCTGGGTCTGAGGACCTTTGATTGAAAAACATGTTTGTTGCAAGCAGCAATGAAACAATGCATGTGAAAACAGGAAACGTGGTGTCCTGGGTAAAGAGGAGCGGTTGTCCCTCAGTGTCTACACAGGATTGGTCCCAGGACTCCTGGCATACCCAAAAGCCTTCATATACAACGGCATAGTGTTTGCGTCTAGCCTATGTACAACCTCTCGTATTCTTTAAATCAGTAGTCCCCACCCCTGCTCCCAAGCCACACAGCAGGAACAAGCAAGAGAAAAGAGAGACTGTATCTGTATTTACAGCTGCCCCTCATCGCTCAGCTTCCTGCCTGAGCTCTCCCTGCTGTCAGATCGGAGGCCACATTAGATGCTCATACATGAACTGTGCATACACAGGTTCTCGTTGCTCCTTATGAGAACCTAATGAGGTAAAGCTGAGGCACTGATGCAGCACTAGGGAATGTAATTATGAGGTATCACAGAACATACACTCATAAAAAAAGAAACTACAAAGAAAAAAATAATCTTCCCTCATCCCAATCCATGGGAAAATGGATGTCTTTTTTCCATGAAACTGGCTCCTGGTGCCAAAAAGGTTGCAGCCTGCTGTGGTTTGTGTCTGGATGTTCCTCCAAAGCCTCATTCAGTTATAGGTGGGGCTTTTGCAGAGGTAGTTGGCTCTAGAGTGTGTGACTGATTCATGGTGCAATGCTAGGATTAAGGGTGCTAAGATGAAGGGTGAGTACTACATCAGTCCACTGACTGGTTTAGCATTGCCCTAATCCCAGTAGCCCAGATGCAATATAAGGGACAGAAAGAGGCTTGGCTTTCCTCTTCCTTGCTCGCTTTTGCTGACTTCTGCTTGCCACGAATTGGTTCTGTTCTGTGTGACCCTGGTGGCCAGGTTGCTTTGGAACTAGCTGACTATGGACTGAAACCTCTACAAACTGTGAGCTGAATAAACTCTTCCCTCTTTCACTTTGGGTATGGGGTATTTTGTCTCAGCAACAAGAGAAAACTAAGATAGAGACCACTACTTTAAATCATCTCTAGACCACTTATAATACCTAATCTAATGAAAATGCTTTGTAAATAGATGCAATACTGTATTATTTAGGGAATAATGACAAGAAATAGAAATTTGTATATGCTTGGTACAGACACCAATTATCTTTTCAAATATCTTCCATCCGGGCTGCTTGCACCTGCTGATGTGGAGACGAGTCTTTTGCAACCTCACAAACCTCAGCCCTCTATATTCCGAAAGCTCCTGTTCAGGCCCTACTAGGAAACTTCCCAAATCCTTTGGCCCTTACCCACGCATCACCCCTAAATACTTTTCACATTTTGTTTTTACAAGTTAACACCTAAACGTAAAAGTATGAAAGAATAGAAAGGTCTTGTGTTTTGTTGTTTGAGACAGTGTCTCTCCACGTAGCTCAGGCCGGCCTGGAATTCACAGTGATCTTCTTGCCTCAGCCTCCCAAGTGCTAGGATGACAGAAGTGCCCGCCACACAGGCTTTAAAAGGTCTTGTTCTTAATGTCTTCCTGTACAAAGTCTTGTTACCTGAGGCAGGGGCCTAGTTTAAGATCTCTGTTACCCTCGCGTAGCACTCAGGTGTGAAAGCGCTTGAGCGGGTAGGAAGGTTATTTCGTGTTTCAATCCGGCTAGGCCATGGCACCCAGATACTCGATCAGACATTAGTTCAGAGGAGTCTGTAAAGGTATTTGTTAGATAAGATTCACACTGAGGTCAGTTTACTTTGAGTAAAACAAATTATACCCCATCATGTGGGTGAAACTGATCTCATCAGTAAAAGGCTTTAAAACAAAAATCTTGAGGTGTCCCAAGGAAGAAATTCTGCTTCCACACTGCCCTTGACCGGAGTTGCAACATCAGCTCTTTCCAGCACGGCCAGCCCGCCACCCACCTTGCAGATTTTGGACTTCCCAGTCCTTACAGTGATGTGTTCCAATTCCTTAAAATAAATGTCCTTACACAGGAAGAAAAAGAGAGATTTAATTTAGATGTAGATGTCTCCCTCCGCACCGTTGGCTCTGTTTCCCTGGCAAATCCTGACTGACAGGTGGGTAAGAGGAACACCCACGTTGGCCCGGTCCCACCAAAGCAGCCCCCTCCCTTCCTCCCTCCCCGCATCCCCTCCCCACCCCTCCCGCCCAACCATCAGGAGGAGTATCTTTTTATTTCCAAACAAAACCACCCAGAAATCCTAATATAGATAAAAAGGAAGGAAGGCTTCTCTGAATGAAAATGGGGTGAAGGTCCCTAGGCGAAGGAGCAACTCCTCAGAACAGCACCTACCCCCTCTCCCCAGGAACCCCAGGGCTTGAGGGACAAGTGGGAACCAATGACCTAAATTAGTGGTCACTGTCACATTTCAGCGGCTACTAAAATCGCAAAGAAAATGGGTACCCTCTTGCCAACTTTTATTTTGCCAAGAAAGGGCCTAAAAACGACAACATAAGCAACAATCATTCCGATCATCATTTCCTGCCCTCTATTCCAATCATCATTTCCTCAACGAGTATGTGTAATGCTTTTTTTAAAAAGAGTAAGGAAGACTGTGAGTTTTGTTAGACAGGCTTATTAATTAAGAAAGCCTAAGTTTAACTTAAAGAACTTTCCCTTTCTCCCACTGCAGCCTGGTGAAAACAGCCCCCACCCAACCAGGGGCAACCGCTGGGGCCCAGGGGGCTGGAGGTGCCCCTTGGAGGTGGACAGGTCAGTTTCCCTGCACCTCTGGGTTGTTTAAAATGATTTCTATTCAACCATTCCAAAAAGGATTTGAGGTGGCTTACCTTGAAAATGCATTACAAGCAAACAAGACCAAGAGAAAGAGATATCAGTACGCTGACCACAAGGGCGGCTGAATCCTAGCCACTCCACCTCCATTTACCTGCCCAGAAGTGGAAATGCACAGCGCCCTCTGTAGGCGGCAAAAGGCCACTGCCTCTTGGGAAGGAAGCAGAGGCCCTCCAGCACTAACTTCCAAAAGATATTTGAAATAAGGTTTAGAGAAAATGAGGTCTCATTTTTCCCCTGGCTTTATCTTCGATCAAAAGCAAGGCCTAGATCAGCAGGTGGTACAACTCCATGCTTGTCAAGAATCCAAGCTATGGCATCAGAGAGAACTGGGGTGAGTCCAGATTTCATCGCTCATGGTATGACCTCAGGTACATTAATATCTCCAAGCCTCAGAGAATGGCTGAGCACATTAAATGAGATAATATGTGCCCATTTCCATCACATGGTGGTAATAACTGAGCCATGCAGGGGCTATATGAAGGTGATTCATGGAGGCTGATGTGGCTCTAGTGTATGACTTTCCAGTGGACCGAGCCCCACAGAGGTTGTTTCTGTCCCATTCAAAGCAGGTCCCGATGCCAAGCACGATGTACTGTACTAATCCTGGACCCAATAAATATTTGTTGAATGGATGGACAAACAAAGGCAGCTCACGATGCCAGCTGCAGAGAAGGGGCACTGTGTCTATTAGCCGCCTTCCCTAACTAAACACAGTCACACTTTAGCCCTGGTCATCACCTTTTCTCTAGATCTCTCCCTATCAGTGCAAAGTCCATTTCTCACTGCATTTCACCAGGGTGGAGGTGGCCTGCTGAGTCATAAGCAGAGCAGAGGCAGCAGCCAGTCCCTGGGGCCCACCCTGGGCCTGTGGATGAGAGTTGGCTCCAGCCAGGCTCCGCTCAGGGAAGAGGCCCCGTGCTTAGGAGAAGGGCTGCCACGGGGCATCTTTTTAGGAATGAAGCCTGGCTCGAGCAGGTCCCTTCCTCCTCTGGGGATTCCAGCTGGGAACTGCCAGTGTGTGAATAACTGGCCAACGGCTTCAGCCTCTCTTGCGTCCTAGTGGGCAGACACCAAAGAGCTCAGGGCAGACAGGAAAGCAGGGTGAGAAAACACAGAGGCCCAGGAATTAGCTGCTTAGAGTCTACCCTCTGTGTCCAACACTGGCTTGGGGAGACTATGGTATTTCACCTCTCTGCCCCAGTGTTCTCAGCAGGAAAATAAAGGGGAAGGACCAGAGCAGTGGCCGATGATCAGAATCATCCACAAAATGTTAGAAAAACCTATCTGTGGGTCCCACTTCAACACACAGTGATTCAAAACTTTTTCTTTCTTAAATTCTCCTGATGACTCTTAAGTATTGCTCGGTTTGGCACACCACTGAAGGACCAATTTAGGCTCCTTCCAGTCCCCGTATTTTCCAATAACATCCTCCATCCATCCTCAGCTGTGAGATTCACCGCTGTTCCTATGAGGAGGGGTGTGGTCGAGAGAAAGCGGCAGGCACAGAGAAAGGCAGGGCAGGGGCAGTGGGGTCCACAGAGCAGGCTCTAGGCCCAACCTAAGGTGGACTGGTTCATTAACCTTGGGGCGGGGCAGTTCCCACCTGTGATAATCCCCGGGGGAGCTGCCGGGATATGCCAGCCCATTACAGATGACATCATAACAAGGGTCTCTCCATTACGCACCTGCTCACATCAGTTTGCTGGACACTGGCATCACACTCAGATTTACAAGGGAGGTTTGGGGTTGATTTTGCACCCCTACCCTTTTTCAATTAGGGGTGAGGCAGGTAGAATAACACTACTGAGCCAAAATGCGCCAACCTCTTATGAAAAAGAAAAGGACCACAGGTATCTCTGTACCTCAGTGAGGGACGTCTGTCCTCAGGGTTGCTCACAGCAGCCATGTCCAGTGACGTGCGCCTGGGACAGAAGCACCC